TTAAAGACAGAATATCTGTTAATCCATTTCAAGCTTTCTTACTCTTGTCTTCAATCCTAAAAGTATTGACCTAGGAAAATCAATACGTGCAGAAGGTTTCTTTTTTGTGGATGGGTCTGCGATTTGTATAACGGTATCTTGTGTATTTAATTTATATACCAGTTCTTTTGTATAAAAAATTGTACATGCTTGCCAAAATACAGGAAGTCAAAAATTCAAAATGAAAATAAAAAAAAATGGAAAAACAAATACTCCTACACAAAAAGAAGCTAAAAGATTAGGAAATTTTGGGGCAAGATTAAAAAATGGGTGGATGAAATAACAGGGCAGAAGATAGAAAGCCGAAACTGTTTCTCCTGGGTATTCTGGAAGGGAAAATGCAGAGAAGTATACAATATATCATATTACACATACTAATGGCAAGTAGAATTGTGATAGCATAAAATTGGAAACAACCAGACACCCCTCCAGATCAAATCATATTAAAAAAAAATATACGAACGTGCAGAGATGGACAGATTATCTATGGAAATGAAGGACAGGGAGGACACCGAGTACTATTTCATATGGAATAAATGGTATTCCTGGCTGGAGAGTAAACATAAAATTTAAGTCAGCAGTCACCAACTGGTAGGTACTTTTCCTCCATCATATGTCAATCCTTCAAGGTTGTATAGGGAAAAGGTACAACACTGTACACTACCTCTCTCTATTGTAACAGAACCTTGCAAGCCTAAAGTATTTACCTCTTTCCCTTTTTCTCTCTGGAAAACTAGGGAGGGTCCTTTCTAAAATGCTTGCTGTGCCCCATCTCCTTCTGTGGGCTGAGAAACCTATTCTCCAAAGCACCTGAAGGCAGAACAAGAAGCAATGGATGGGAACTAATCAAGGAGAGAAGCAACCTGGAATTAAGGAGAAATTACCTGACAGTTAGAATAATTAATCAGTGGAATAACTTGCCTCCAGAAGGTATGTGGGTGCTCCTTCACTGGAGGTTTTTAAGAAGATTGGCCAAAATGGTACAGGGTTTCCTGCTTGAGCAGGGGATTGGACTAGAAGACCTCCAAGGTACTTTCCAACTCTGTTATTCTGTTAAATCTTTTACATGCTGGTTGTCCAGTCTGTGGCAATTCCTCCCGTCTCCCAAGATCACTCGCACATACCATCACCTGATGAGAGTAACATCCCTCCAGCAGAAAGTCCTATGTGGCGAGTTTTCTCTTAAGATTTAATTGAAGCACTGGAAGTCAAGGGGGCTACAGACCACTGGACAGCTGCACTTTGGGGAGAGAATTAAATCAGCAAGATGGGGAAACCGTGTAACAATACAAGCCCTGCCCCTTTTGCATTGCATTAACATCTTACCAAGGGCTTCCATCACAACACTTTGTCTACTGTATTTGAACTTAATCCCCATAGATCAGGGGTGTCAAACTCAAGGCCCACGGGGTGCTTAGATCTGGCCCGCGGGGCTACTCTGGAAACAGTGAAGGACTGGCCCGCGGTGCCTCTGCCAGTGAAAACGAAGCTCGGGGGAGTTGCGGTTCCCCCAAACTTCTTTTCACTGGCAGAGGGCCGCATGCAGCCGTTGCGGCTGAAAACGGGGCCCAGGAGCCAATTTTCATTGGCAGAGTGCTTGGGCCACCACAGGCACCGACAAGCGATGTCTTGCTGGCCATGCCCACCACCACCATGCCCCCCCTGCCCCCCCAGGATCAAACGCAACCCTGATGTGGCCCTCAATGAAATCGTGTTTGACACCCCTGCCATAGATGATACCACCACTGGTGGTGGTGCAAACAGGATGTTTGTGCAACATTTGCAGCCATCTGGGACTTAAATTAGTGCAAGAACACCACAAACCAGCATGTGAGAATTTCTCCAAAATTCTCCTCTGGAAAAAGAAAAATCTAAAGCACATTTTTCTTTTACCCAATTAAATAAGAAGCTGGTAGCTGGCCGGTCGGCTGTTTGCTGACTGGTTTTTGTTTCTTAATCTTTTTTTCTTTTGTGATCTGTTCATGAAGTCCAAGGTGGATCTGGCTCTTTATCCCTTGGACTAAGGATGCTCCATTCAATGCTACCAATGAGTCTGTACAGATATAAGAAGAAGTTGTTTATAGGATTATAGAGAGCTACTTAGTGGCCAGCAACAGAATGAATGAATTTACTGGTAAAGAAGACAGAGCAGCTTTAAAAAAAACCAAAATCAGAATCTATAAAAATACTAGAGTAGAGCTTTTGTGACATATAGGTTTATGAGTCTCTGAGAAGTTTCCTTCGCAAGGAAAAATGATAAACAAAAGTACAATACAGTCAGTCCTCAACCTATGACCACAACTGAGCCCAAAATTTATGTTGCTAAGTGAGACAGCTGTTACGTGAATTTTGCCTCATTTTATAACCTTGCCACAGTTGTTAAATGAATCACTGCAGCTGTTAAGTCAGTAACACAGTTGTCGAGTGAATCTGGCTTCCTCACTGACTTTGCTTGTCAGAAAAGGGGATCACGTCATCCTGGGGCACTGCAATCGTCCTAAATATGAACCAGTTGCCAAGCATCCAAATTTTGATCATGTGACCACGGGGATACTGCAACAGTTGTAAGTGTGAAAAGCAGTCAAGAGTCACCTTTTTTTCAGTGATGCAACTCCAAATGGTCACTAAATGAACTGTTGTAAGTCGAGGACCACCTGCAGTCATTGATTACAGCCTGGAATAACACTTCACATTTATTGTTATTTCCTGACTAGGTATATTTCCTTCAGTACTAGAATACAAGTCCTTTTTAGCTGCTTAGTTGTTGTTTTCAAGCAAGAAAGATTTAGCATCAAGCTAATAAATGTTCTTTGGTTGGCTGGGAATTAAAGTCACACGCTAATTCTAGGATATAAACTCGGGCCTCAGTTATACATTCACCAAAAAGGTGGGCTGGAATCATGTCATTTCATGAGCCTATTGTTGTGGTCCGCCAGCGGCCTGCAGAGCTGGCAGCAAAGTCGGACAGTGAGGAGGCTGGGGAGGAACATGGGCCAGTCCTGGAGTCTAGGGAAGGCTCAGACCAGGGCTCTGCGTCTGAGGCAGAGAAAGGGCCATCTGGGAGGTACGAGCTGCCTCTGGAGCCTCCAGAGTCAGACCTCAGCGAGGCAGAGGAACAGGGAGAGCCTGTTCCCAGTGCGTGCATGCGCAGAGCTGCCAGAAGGCAAGAACAGTTAAAACAAAAGGGATGACTCAGGAGTAGGGCTTGGAGATGATTGGCTGATCTCATAAGACTTAATAGAGGAGCAAAGGCACATGGGCCTTTGCAGGAAGCAACGTTGTTAATTCTGTGCAGTTTAAAGTCTGAAGCTCTGTTTGATTCTGGACTCCATGTGGCTTTGCCAATTAGGTCTTTGGCAGCGTGTCAAGGGAGATAAAGGTGGGTGATTACCAGCCTTATCCCAAAGGGCTCTTTACAACTATATGGGACTCATCTGTGAATGAACAGAACTCACAGCTGTTAAAATAAAACAGGTTTTTGGGACTACTCGTGTGTTTTACTGACTCAGGAAGCCTAGGTTGGATTACCTACAACTTTTAAAAATCCTCTAATAGAAATGAATAGAAGTCCTTTCTATTAGGGAGAAAAGATTTTGCCTGGTTTGCATTTTTGCCATGTTAGGTATCTGTTTACAGATCCTTTTCAGAAAAGTAAAATGTGCTTAGGTCTCATGGGGGACATGGAGAAATCTCTCCCCTTGTAGACCTTTCTGCTACTTGTATAGACCAGGCCTCAAATTAAGCCCCAGGGAGATGGGGGGACTGATGGTGCATTTTTTGCTGGAAATATGTTATATCAGATCTTTTGTAAAGATACAAACTTAGACGGTAGTTGCAAACTTGTTTCTAATAGTGTCCTCTGGGAAGTGAACAGGTTTTGTCACAGGAGTTTGGAAGTTCTTGACAAAAATTACACAATTTCCTTTCCCTACACAGAACGATAGCTACTTTCAGGCAAGGTTGTTTGGTGCCCCTTACTTTAAATAAACTATCTAGTTGGAAAATAGGTCTCTTCCATAAAGCATCTATATTATGCAGCCTGATTCATTGGTAAGCTAAAATTAAGGATTTTTTTTTTCACTCAGGAACAAACAGATCGGTCTTTGGCATTTCTGAATGCATAAATCCTTATTTGAGCTAGTGTTTTAGCTTGTTTCTGCTTTTTACATAAATAATGCAAGCCCTCGCGCATAATAAGCACATTTTTAGAAAAAGTAGGTTAAAAAAACTATTATTTTGCCTAGGGAAAAAGAAACGGAACGTGATAACAATCAATACAGGATACTGATAAAAAAAAAATCAATTTGGCACCGGTTCCAGGTTGAGAGTTATTCCTTCCTAAGGTAAACCTCACCAGGTTTACCACAAGAAAGGGGGGGGAAAATTGCAAAAAAAAAAAAAAAAGGATTTAGGAAAGACTAAAGGCATCATTGAATTGTAATCCATACCAGGAAAGTTTCAACTGAAAAATCCAAAGGGACTTTCAAAGAGGCGATTGCACGTCCTAGAGTTAAAATCGGGCAATCTGCGATTTACGCGAAAGGAGAAAAAACCGGACGAAGGGACCGAGAAGCCGGTGGAAGGAGCAGGAAAAAAAAACCCGCGGGACCGGAGAGCGGCTTTCCCCTCAAAGGGTTCCTTTCGTCCACCTTGGAGTTCCCGCGCTCCGCCCGCCCGCCCTCGCCTTTGCGCTTTTGCGCTCCGGAGCGCAGATCACGACGCTCAGCCCCAGCCTTTCCTCAGGGGGGCGTCCGTCGATCGCACCGCAGGGAAGACGGGGCGTCCTACCGGGTCTTTTTTTTCCTTCTCGGTTTTAGAAGAAGGCGCGCCGGTCTTTCTCCTTAATCGCCGCGCGCGCCATTTCATTACGGGGAGCTTCGCCTACAAATCCCATCCGAAGGCAGTCTCCGCCCCGTTGCGTGTGTTGGAAACCTCCTGCTTAGCCCGTGTCAGCTCCTCTTAGCGCCGTCTGGCTTCTGCACACTCAAGCAGGACTTGCGCGGCGGGCTCGCTCTCTTCTCGTCCCCCCCTTTTTTCCCCCCCACTCTCACTTAGAAGCTCCTCCCAGATCATCCCAACATTTTTATTATTATTATTATTTTTTTTAAAAAAAATCATTTAGTGGCGTCGTTGCCTCGGATTGCAAATCCAACCCTTAACGCGCCCCAAGTCAACTTGCCCAAACTTTTGATTCAAAACAATATCTGGGGTGGGGCGGAGAGGGGGGGGAGTGAAGTCTCGAAGAGGCCATCCAAGACCTGAGCCAAGAGAAAGAACATGGGTTTCAACGACCGAGGGGGTCGCAGCAGCTGCCCCCACTGCTTGGCGCTCCTCGTGTTGGTTTGTGGCGTCGGACCTCTCGCTGCCAACCGGAGAAATATCCCGCGGCGACAAGGTAAGGATTGGGGTGGTTTAATCAATCCCGGTGGTGCGCGTTCTCCAAGCCAGCAATATTGCCAAATCCCCAAAAAGTGTCCGGTGCGAGACCAGGGGGATGGCGGGAGGGCAAAGGAGCCGCGAAAAAAGAAAAAAAGGGAAGGGCAAAATAAAAGCAAGGAGGGAGGGAAGTGTGTGTGTGTGTGTGTACACGCGCAAATACGCACACGCGCGCGCGTGGAAGGGCGCCCTGGCGTTTACCCGAGGCTCCCTCTTCAATCCGTTATCCTTGCACACCTCCAGCTCGGTTGCTCCGCTACTATATATCCCTCTCTTGCTGGGTAAGATCTCAGCGGCTACTGAAATCCGCTGGAGCCGATTCCATGTGATCTCAATTACTTGGACGCTAGGAAAAAAAGAAAAAAGAAAGAAACGGGGGCGGAGTGGGGAAGGGGGGGGGGAAAGAAGGGGAGACTGCTTAGAAGGGGAGAGAAGCGTTTTTTTGGAAAAAAAAACCCCAAGATTTATTTAATCCACATTGACCGAATGGCTTCTAGTTTCCTGTTGCGCCAGGCACAATTCGGGGAGTTTTTTTTGTTTTGTTTTGTTTTGCTTTCTTCGCCCACCTCCCCGCCCCTGTGCCAGGGAGACCAGCCACGGTTCATTATGTACGAAACCAATTAAAGCGTCCAGACACATTGCTTGGAGAGATGACACTTTTAAGGAAGGCTTCTGACATTTGCCTCGAGACTAAATCTAGGTTTTTTTAAAAAAAAAACCTCTAATGACTACAAAAAAAAAGCAAACTACCCAAAAGGCATCCGTGTGAACATATGTGTTTTATGGTATTTTAGGATTGATCTAAAGCACTGGGGGAAAAACGATCCTAGGTTCTTTGAGAGAAAAAGGGATGGGGGGGGGGTGGGGAGGAAATCAGGCTGCCTCCAAAGTAATTTGACTTATTTTTTTTAGGAGGTGGGGAGAGTTAAAAGACAGGTGTCTCTCTCTCCCTGGGCTTTGAAAGCAGAAATTCAACAAGTGTTAATTTCTCCATCACTGTCTCCTCATGCTGAAAAATAAAAGGGGCCAATCTTTCTGAATTACGGCAAAATACCTATTTGTAAAAGTCTAGATTGGAAAAGACTGTTTCCTCAGGGAAGTTATTGCAATGTGAAATCTAAAATAGTAGGCTAGAATCATTCACCTCTGTAACCCCATTAATTCCAGTGGAAGACTTTCTGGACAGAAGGTGATCTTTGCATTCAAGCAGTGTACAGTGTGAGCGAAATTATTAGGCAGTAGTGCTTTTTAGCAAAAAAAAAAAAAAATTAAGAGGAAGCAAATAACTTGCTTATATATAAATATAAATACAAATATAGTCTTTGAAACGTATCTTGTAGCTTCTAAATATGCTCTTCCTAATATAGCTGAAACAAACTTTTCTTCCTCTTCTCTCATTAGAAGCTGGTTTAATTATACAACTTTTATCATTCGTGCTAGGGTTCAGTGTAACAAACAGTTGGCAGAGATTTATTTATTTATTGTTTATTTATTTATTGGTTCGATTTATATGTCGCCCATTCTCCAGAGACTCAGGGCGGCTTACAATGCATTAAGCAATAGCTTTCATACTTTAGTATATACCTGCTTAGTAGGGCTTTCGGTCCCCCCCAAGCGGTGTTCTTTTTTATACAAAGTCAGCTTATTGGCCCCACAATCCAGGTCCTCATTTTACCTACCTCGAAAGGATGGAAGGCTGAGTCAACCTTGAGCCTGGTGAGATTTGAACTTGCAGTAATTGCAGGCAGCTGGTGCTAGTTAACAGCACTTTAGTCTGCTGCACCACCAAGGCTCTTTCAGATGTCCCATATTCTCTTCGTCTACTTAAAGCTTGATGGCTCATGGGATAACAGGGCTTGCATGCAGATCCTTGACCCTGTTACTGCACCAAAAGGGAGTATGGTACTTGGATAAGGCCTTCTGGCTTTATTTATTTTGTTTAATTAGTATATTGTTATCCCACCATCATTTTATAAGTAGCTCAAGGTGGCAAACATACACAATACACCTTCCTCCTTCTGTTTTTCTCCCACAACTACAACTTTGGGAACTGGACTGGGCTCAGAAAGAGCAACTGGCCCAAAGTTACCCAGTCAAGCTTTCATGCCTAAGGTGGAACGAACTCACAGACTCTAGGCCAGTAGGTTAACTACCACACAAAACCGGCTACAGAAATTGGCCAATGTAGGAGTCCTCCTGTAGATTCTAATCTGTTTTTTTTTTAAAAATGAGATGATAAGGCAAGTGTAAATATAAAAGTATATTTTATATATGGAACTGTTCATTTGGAAGGGACGTTAGTTAACTCAATTTTTGAGGTGATAGTGTATGCTGAAAGATAGACCAAAGATGGTGTATGCAGAAGGCCTACATTTCAAAACCAGTATCTTCAGATCAAGTGGGAAAGACAACTTCCCAAAAATCTTGGAGAGCTGTGCTAATGTGCCTTATTCATTCAGCCCAATTTAACTGAAGACTTCTAGAAGGGTTCTAGACAACCTGCATATATTTAAAGAAATGTGCAAAATCCCTCAATGTGCATCTCGCATGAGTGATAAAGGGACCTTTTTGTGAGCTGTTCCACTGCCCCCAAACAAATCCTGATTTCCCCCGCACTGAATCTGGTGGCCAGACAGGTCAATGTTGGAGAACCAGGTCATCCAGCTCAAATCTGCATTTCCCCATATTCATTCCATGCAAGGCAAGGGTTGGGAACAAGAGAATAGAATAGAGTAGAGTAGAGTAGAGTAGAGTAGAGTAGAGTAGAGTAGAGTAGAATAGAATAGAATAGAATAGAATAGAATAGAATAGAATAGAATAGAATAGAATTTTTTATTGGCCAAGTGTGATTGGACACACAAGGAATTTGTCTTGGTGCATATGCTCTCAGTGTACATAAAAGACAAGATACGTTCATCAAGAATCATAAGGTACAATACTTAATGATAGTCATAGGGTACAAATAAGCAATCAGGACACAATCAATATAAATCGTAGGGATACAAGCAACAAAGTTACAGTCATACAGTCATAAGTGGGAGGAGATGGGTGATGGGAACGATGAGAAGATTAATAGTAGTGCAGACTTAGTAAGTAGTTTGACAGTGTTGAGGGAATTATTTGTTTAGCAGAGTGATGGCGTTTGGGGAAAAACTGTTCTTGTGTCTAGTTGTTCTGGTGTGCAGTGCTCTATCAGCCACCATGATCATTAGTGAAGAGTTATGAGAGTTGTGTCCCATGATATTTGGAAGGCTGCAAGTTCTGCATCCCTGTTTTGGAATTAGCTTCATTCAGAGTGGATCATCTTGACTGTATTTTTTTTAACCATACTCTATGGATAAACCTAGCATCAGGTTCTTCTATCTATAATAGCTTATTAATACTTAGGAACTGCTTTGTAATATAAGCAAGAATTGTGCTTGGTTATCATGAGAGCCAGTTTGATGTAGTAGTTAAGGCATCAGTCTAGAAAACAGGAGACTAAACCTAATCCTGCTTTAGGCATGAAGCCAGTGGGTCACCTTGGATCAGTCACTTTTTCTCAGCCCTAGAAAGGAGACAATGGCAAATCACTTCAGAAAAACCTTGCCAAGAAAACTGCAGGGATTTGTCCAGGCAGTTGATAGGAGTCAACACCGACTGGAAGCCATCTCCCTTTAAGAAAACCCCCCATCTTTTGTGAGTCTTTGCCTTTTCCCTTCATTGTGTGACGCAGTAGTTAGAGTGCAGTAGTGCAGGCTACTTCTGCTGTCTGCCTGCTGCCTGCAATTTGGCAGTTCGAATCTCACCAGGCTCAAGCCTTCCATCCTTCAGAGGTCAGTAAAATGGGGACCCAGATTGTTGGGGGCAATATGCTGACTCTATGTAAACTGCTTAGAGAGGGGCTGTAAAGCACTGTGAAGTGGTATATAAGTCTAAGCACTATTGCTATTCACTTTTTCCCTTTTATTTAGGTCAGTCTGGCATATGAAAAATACTTTTACATACCCATAAGCAATTCTTAAGGGAGGGATATGTGAAAGCTAATGAAGGTCTTCCAAAAAGGAAGGAAGCCAGGAAGGCCAAACAGCAGACTGTTCCTTCAAGAAAGTCATTAATAAAACCGGATGCATCTTTGTAAGAGCTGCTGACCCTTCCTGAGTGTGGTTTCGCTTTCAGTGTTCTAGATTTTTAAAATATTGAATAATACCTTCCATCAATTCCCCCAAAATAGGTATCATCTAATTGCCCAAATCACAATACATTCTTTTAAAACTTACATTATACTTTCTAGAAACTGCTAATCATCAAAATCTTTTCCCCATAATTTAATTGTACTATTCCTAGTGAAATGCAAACTAAATCCTATTAGGAAATGCTAAACCACTGACCAATAATTTTCTTTTATGTTTAAACCCTGCAGTGGCATTCAAGCTTTTGGTCAATACTTGGAGGTTAATTGATAGTTAATATTCTCCAACACCGAATATGCACTTGATTTTGTCTTCTAGTGTTGTTCAGTATGGCAAACTTTCATTTATTTTTTTCGCAAAGTGAAGTGGATTTGTTGTTTGACATGGAAATAGGTATGAGAGGAGAGGGGAGAAGTCATATTTGTGAAGTCCAAGAGAGGACCTAAGTTTTCTTAAAAGTATTTGCAAGTAATGATATTCTTCTTCGTAGTTCCTAAAAGGAAGGTTCATATGATTTGAGTAAGGAAGAGATGAGATCTAAGTCTGGTTACGACCATGCTCTAAATGTGTAAGAGCTATTTTTTCTACCACTTTAGAGTTTTGGAGTCTTGATCAGTGGTGAAATCCAATTTTTGTTACTACTGGTTCTGTGGGTGTGGCTTGGTGGGCGTGGCACGGGAAGAATACTGCAAAATCCCCATTCCTTCCCCACTCCTGGGAGAAGGATATTGCAAAATCTCCATTCCCATCCCACTCGGGGGCCAGCCAGAGGTGGTATTTGCCGGTT